GAGTGTTCACATAAATCTAAACCACAATCCTCAAAATAATTTATATACATTTCCTTTTGTTGTCAAATAATTTATACGTAACTTGCAAATGTTACAGCTGTACAAGGATTCAATCATAAACATGGAGCATTCATGAAAAAACAAATGTGGGTATGTCACCATAAGAACTGTGGCTACAGAGGAGGAAACACCAGGAGAGAAAAAGAAAAGACCTTTAGTCTTTTGAAACCGCAGAAAGATAAATTTCTTTTTCTCGACAAAGGTATGTCAGTGCATGTTTTGGACCCGGGCAGCTTCTGATTGTATCAGCATCCTCCAACAAACATTCCATGGCTATAGAAGCAATTAATGTGAAAGAAACTGCTTTTGGGGTTATGTAAACTGGTGCAATGAAAGTAAACTTCCTGACCTCCTCAGAACCTTCATTTAGGTTCAAATTCAAAAATACAAACTGAATCGATTCCTCACCAATAGTTATTCTCAGCCACAACCTACCCTCATTTGAAATATTATGCAGTGTGATTTCACATGGTATAGCAACTGGTAGTCCCGAGACGAAAAAGAGCGGATTTTCAGAGTCATTATCAGGAACCTCTAGCTCGGCATGTATGTGCCTAAGATTCCTGCACAGCACAAACTGCTCAAGGGAGAAGTGATCGAGCAACTTTTTAAGCAGAAATGGGCAGCAGTAACTTGTGCCAATTTCATGTAATGAGCTTTTAATTTCCAAGAAGAATTTGGACTGTCCAGTGCATCCTTCCTTGTGAAGAAATTCTGCTTGTGAAATTGCAGAAGACAGCCTTTTCATAGTAGTGAGATAGCAGCAAATTTCAACTTTTGACAACCTTAGTAAACAACTCAATATTATCAGGTCCAGAATTTGCAACTTCTCTTCTTTAGATAACCCTACAAACCTACACTTTAGCTCTCTGAGTCTGCTTTCTAACTTTCCCAATAAAAGGTCCACTTCTCCAATTTCATAAGAATGCCGCTTTCTTGTAGGTACGAAGTGCTCCCATACCCTAGCTAGATATTTTATTACTTGGAGATATAGCAGCATAAATGCTAAAACACTGACAGGCTGAGGTGATCCAATGGCAAACAAAGAAACTTCTTCTTTGCAGGCCCTGAAATAAATAAACAGATAAGTTGAAAATCAGAATATGCACAAAGGGTGTCGTATGTGCACAACTAAAAAGAGAAGCAAATAACTATTACTAGACCATGTAGCATCAGAATGAGCATGTATTTTAGCTAATGTCATTAGAAAAAGTTTTTCTAACAGGTGGTTAGGATAATAGCATTAGTGTACATCCTATCACATATTCAGAGCAGCAGATGTCACCCAATTTCATTGAGTAAAATAAATTCCCTGACTACATATATGAGGCACAGACCAGACAGATTTCATTAAGATATAAAATGCAGCAGAAATTCCTGACTGGAAACTAGTGAAAACCAGATTGTAATAAAATATACATCAAAATTGACGGCATTTGATTTCAGAACAAGAAATGCTAAAGACATATACCAAGAATAGTATCAAGGGTATTACAACCTCAGAGCTGTCAATGCTTCTTTTGTGCATCCTGATTTCACCAATGACCAGATAAACTTAATCTTTTTGGAAATAAGATTCATAGATGTCTTTACTTCATCAGGCTCCTCCAAGTGGGATTCTACATCTGAAGTCACTGGCTCACTTGGTTTGCCGCGAATCTGAGACTGAATTTCGGAGGTCTCATCACTTGTTTGTTCTGAGGACATTCTAGCAAGATTCCTAATCCTGGCAGTGGCAAAATTTGGAGTATCTTTTTGACACACATGCAAAAATGGCTCCTTCTCATTGGATTCCAAGCCAGAGGAACTGTATAATCTATAGCAGTGAGATAAAAAAGCCAAAAGGGTTTTTTGGTCCATGACATCGTGCAGAGAATGAGATATCCTCCCCAGCATTGTAATAGCATAAGAAAATAGTTGAGGTGCGATACAAGGAACATTCTGTTTGTCTGAGAGGGGGACTGAGATAATTAGAACTAGATATGCGGCTTTTCTAGCATCATTCAAGTCCAATTTATCTCTAGAATCCAGATCTATCTGAAGTGAATTACAAGTTAAGAGAAGAAATATTTCAATATAATTAACTTAATAGGAAGCACAAAAAATGAGGAACAGAGAAAGAAACTCCTAAATTGCAACCATTGAGAGAAGATTTGCTAGTAACTATGATTGGGTTCTGCTGACTCTACTATATCTAGTATTCACATATATTTTGTTACATAAATGTTTGTATAAAAGTTTCAGTTGTAAGGTGTTTAAATATTTTTGTACACAGATATGGTTCCTCTAAAGCAATAAAATTTTCATCATTAACATAGGCATAACAGTTACTAAAGCCATCAATTGGAGTCAACATACACGATGGGAGTATTTTAGGCTACAATAAAACATAAGATGCAAAATTTTCATCCAGTTGTATGCTAGGATTCCAATAGACTTCTATATGCACAAACACCACAATCGATAACGAAATTTATTTTCCTCTTTCCAACTGATAACATGAAATCAACTAGTCGAATTTAAACAAAATTAAACCAAAACTAGATCTTTAAGAAGAAAGTAACTAGATTAATCAGGAACAAGTGTGAGAGTGTGTGACAGTAAGTGAGAGATAGAGAGAGAGACTTCCATGTTCACCAAATTAATAATTCAAGAAGCAGAGGAGATAAACCATGATGACCTCTTGAGTGGCCGTCTTAATTATGTAGCTCGTGAAGTTCCCATGACTTTGACCAATATGAAACAAAACAGCAAGGATATCAGCTTCATCCTACAAGGAAGGTACATAAGTTTATCTCATAGAGAAGAAGGAAAAAAATATGAGAGATCAACCAGCACTTTACTTTTAAGGGGAAGAAAAAAAAAGGTAAGCCAACAGGAAACAGCAGACCTGTGGGTACTTCTCCAAACATTCAAGAAGACTGCTGATACACTGTTTAAACAACTTCAAATCAGTCAGCTTCACCAATTTAAGTATTTTCCTCATTTCAGATCGTATCTTTCGGCTCTTGTCAATTAATGAACCAAGAATCTGTCATAAGACAAGCGTTGATTGTTATTTGACGACCTCTGAAGTCCTTTTCTCAAAGGGGCCATGCTTATATAAGACGAAATAATCAGTCAACGTTCTCAAAAAAATGGCAACTGACAAATATTTATGAAATCTAATTCCTGCACCCTAGATCAGGAGCAAATGAGGAAATAGAACATGCCAGAAAGAAATTTCTTCTTCTGCAAGACCAAAAGAAATTACAAACAACATCATTTGCTCATTTGTCTGCCTTTACGAGGCAACAGCTTGTCTATATATTTTAATGAAATAGCACCAGAATTGTATTTTAGAATCACATAAACAAATATATCCACCTCATCATGAGAGACAGAACCAACTTTATCAAGCTGTCAAATTTTTCCATATTGTACATCATCTGAAATGGAGGAAAAGAAAAATGATAAGAACCTACAGCATGCATGTGCATCTCTTGCACTTTAAAGTGCCCGCAGATTGCCATATGATGCAACGTCTCTAAAGTTTCTAATCTGACAGCCATAGAGGGATCGTTTAGCAAGTCCATCAACAGGTTTAAGGCTTCACCAGCAAACTTGGCAGACAGGTCTATGAGCGCACGCAAAGAGGAAATGGCTGACTTTCGTACCTTCAGATCAAACAGAAAACAGTGCCATAAGCAAGATATTCCCTATGGAAAAAAGGGAATTACCTTTGTAAGTTGCAGCAAATAATCAAAACTCATGAATGCCGTATGATCCTCAACAGGACCTAAATCCCAATAGGAAATGGAGCCAAAAAGTCACCTCGTAAAATTCATCCTCAAGCCCATGGACAAAAGCCCCAGCAGCACCTGCAACTGGAATTTCGAGAGATTCAGCAGTGCACTGAGCATGATTGTTTTTTGCATTTATGATTCCAATAACCTTCTTAGACAGGGTTTGTAACAATACAGCCTCAGATACAATTGCTATCTTCCCAAGTGCATCAAAAGCCTCAACTTTGACCCCCGTACTCATATCTCTTACCATTGTGCAAATCTGCAAGCATATGTAGCAAAACAAGGACTAGATAGGAACCTACCAGAATGCTTAAAGATAAAGGGATAGAGATGCATATTCATTGAGAAAAGGAAACAAAAAGAAGGTCTCCAATTCCAACCATCAAAACTGATGCAGATCAAAGCTGGCGGATAAATACAGTAAGCACTTTACTACAACAAACATTATACAGTAAGGTCTTCAATGTTGATTACAGACGACATTGGTTTCAATCAAGCCATATCTAGCTGCTTTATGGAGATCAAATTTACCAAATGAACATGCAATAGGTTTTGGTTATCAATGAACTAAGTAACTAAACAAAATGATTTTCAATGAACTAGCAGCAATTCCTGGATTCAAAATTTCATTCAAATTTCAAACGCTAGCTCAAGATTAACATGTTCATGTGCAAGAAAATCAAATACCACGAGCAATGTAGATAGCAGTACCTGTAAAAATACAGCATCAGATCGTTTTCTTCTGTTGTTCTTGTGGTCACATGCCACTAACATTTGTCCCCATTCACAAACCTGTATTAACAGCATAAATTGAAAAGTTTTACCAAGAGAGCGCAAAAACTATCCAGAGCGAGACTGTAAAAATATCAGGTATCAAACACGGTGCAATTATCAAAATTTCGTGATAATTGAATGATCGGTGTCTTACTGCACGAACTGCAGCTGATCTGACGCAATCTTCCGTGTCCTTGAGAAGTTCAACAGCACGGCAATAACATCCCTCAATTGCATCAAGACTTTCAAATTCACCGGTCTTAGATAAACCAACCAATCCATCTAAAGCCGCTTCTCTCACATATGGATACGGGTCGCTTGTAAACCCCAAAAACACTGTGAATAACAAAGACGACCGAATACGGAACTTCTCCGCATTTCTCAGAAGCCATATCCGTACGGACACGCGTTGTCCGAAGCAGAGCGAGACATATAACTCATCGTCGATGTCTTTAAGATTGGGAACCGCGAAAGAGTTTTGTTCGGAAATTGACGCAAGCGTGGAGAGCAACTCGGCTGCTCCGCGAGTTGAACCAGAGGAAAGCGAGATTGAACGGAGCAGGTCCAAGATGAGCGGAGAGAGGTCGGGACAGCGAGAGGAGAGGTCAGTGAGGAGCTTGAGAACCTGGTGGAGAAGGACAGAATCGTGGCTGAGTGTGAGAGAGTGAGCAAGAGTTTGGAGGACTGCAGGGAGTGTGGAATCAGAGGTGTGAGGATTAATTACGAGTGATCTGAGTGAAGCTAGGGTTTTTGAAGAAAGGGGTTTATCGCTTAAGCTCCGTACCCATTGCTCCATTGAAAGTGTTACAGTTCAAAGCTGGATGAACCTGGTCACTGGATTGTAGGCGGAGGAATTCTGATCAATGCAAATGGTTTTTTCAGTGTAGTGTAGCTTAAGGATTCATGGATACTTTGAATTTGAATCCCTACATATTTATAGTCAGCTTCTTTCCCAACTTCCTCTGTGCATGTATACTTTTAATAAAAAATTTTTGAATGAAAATTAATATACTTAATTAAATAAAAGATTAATTATAATATGAAATCAAATAAAAATAAATGTAAAAATATAGTCTCTTTTTTGTAAAAATTTGAAACGTTGAAGAAAATGAATTTATAATTTAAATGGAGAAGCGAATAATAAAATTAGAGTTTATATTTCTTACATAATAATTTAGAATGCTAATAAGATTACGGGAATATCTCTTCTAAAAGACAAACAGTAATTAAAGAAATAAAAAAGAGCGAATAAATAAGTATTCTAGAACAACATTCACTAATACTTGAAAGGAGTTCAGGTGGTGAACTACTCACAACCCTTTTGCTGTTCGAGATTTGAATCTTGATTTTTTAACATAAAATGATTAATGAAAATGTGAGTTATACTAGTCCAGTAAGAATATCACATTAATCACAGATAAGAAAAATTGAAATTGGTAAAAATCAGAAAAACAATTAATGGAACCCTTGTTTCAATTAAATACATTTAACTTAAAGACGTTTGTTTGATACTTATCGTAACGAATTTTTCAAAAAAATAACCTATGGAAACTCATATCCATAACACTTTTCATTTTCACGTATAGGAGAACAAGATACGACAATTTTCCTTTCTTACTTGCTTACTAGTACTCTTGGGGGTCCATAGGGATATTTTCTTATTCGTGAACCCAATATTTAATTTTAACAATAAACTAGCCATCCCCATACCCAATTCGATAATGGGCGCCAAACATTCCATCGCCTCGATACCCCGTCTAGTATGAGGATGAACCATATCTCTCAAACTTTTTCGGTAAGGGACTTTCTAGTCCCGTTCAACTCAGGCAACGTTCACGTTAGGGTTTCTTATGTACCGGATCCGTCTGTTCTTTCCCTGGGTACCTAGTAAGTCTTTCACATAAATATTCCTATCAACAAAACAATCAACAATACATACATATATCTCATATTATATTTAATAATCAATCAGACGATATTTATACAAATGATATAACTTATTATAACAAGGGATCGAGTAACAGATAACCGAATAAACCAAATAAATCGATAAAACCATAGAAACTATAAAATAAGAACATGTACAATACGATAACAAGCAAGTAGAACATTATAAGAAAATAAAAAAGAAATCAGGACAATTGCGAACTAACCAGTTCCGGCTCCACTAGTGACTTATAATTATTTTTAGGATTTTCTAAATTTTTACAAAACCACAAAATTATATCTCGTTAAGCTCCAATTTACAGTAACGGAGAATACGATGAGGGATCCTTACTCGAATCGATATTTTGAGACGTCATGCTGTCTATCACGTCTCCTAATGGGTACCAGATTTCTTGAATTTTTTTTATAAAATTTAAAACACTCGTCATGTACCTAAAAATATCTCAAAAATCCAAAATCGGTGTCCAAAACTCTTTTTAGCCAATTTTGGGGTTCTAGCACGCCACTACTAGTCCTCCTTCTTAGCTAGGATTCCTTCTTTGGCTAACATGCACAGAAAAGGACGGTGAACACAATGATCAAAAATTGCGTGAAACAGAAAGCAGGAAAGGGCTCATCAGAGGAATTTTTGAGTTTTGGTCGCGACGACTCCATCGGGTTTTACCTGCGGTTTCTGGCTCACCCGCCGTCCCTCTTACTTCAATTTGGCTACAGGGATGCTCAGAATTGAATTCCAAGCAGGTATGGGGAAATTTTATATTTTTTGGCGGTCGGTGGTGGCTCTAGTACGACGGCTGTTAGTGGTTA